ATGGACATTTATCCTAGCGCAGTTGAAAAAAACAAAACAGGTTGAGATTTGCCTTATGCTACTGATATAGCAATGTGAAAACTGGCGGGGGGGAGAGGAAAAAGAGTTTCTAAAAAGATTTTGTGGAGGGAGTTTACTGAATTAAGCCAAAAGTTGAAGAATCAATTTTTTTTTGAGAGAGAAGAGCACATTGATAAGTTGATAACTTTCAGTACAGCCTCTTAATTGTTTTCTTTCATACCTCTTATGGCATAATGTCTTATCTGTAGAACTTGTTAAACTAGAGCAGTTGTGTTGCACCCTGTCTTTGCTTCCAGAGACGCCCACTAACAGGAACATGGTGCCCCCACGTGGATTTCCCGTGTTCCTACTACAGCTCTTGACAGCCTCTCCTACTCTTCCTCCTCCTCTTAAGGATGGATGGGGGTTAGGGAGTCTATCTCGTCTTGACTGCTTTTTCAGACACTTTTTTTTTTTAGAAGCGTTGGTTTTCTTTCACGTTTTTAGTTCTGTACTAATAAAAAATTCAGGGTTCCATCTAGAATTCCATAACTTTTGTTAGTTCTAAAGAGTTGGACCTGGGAAATCCGTGGCAGCCAGAGATAGATTTCGATGTAAGTGAATTTCTCTGGATCTCCTCTGAATGTGTACTCAAACTGTAATGCTGTAGCAAGTTTATATTCTCTCTCAGGACAGAACGGACACTAATTTTAAGAAATTACAGAAAGGGGGCATGAAATACCACCTTTAAATCTTATTTCCCGGTGTCAGCAGGCATATCCAAATCGGTTTTCTCTGATTTTAATTATTTGTTACCAAGCTTTAATAGTCAACCATCCAGACATTATAACATCAGCAAAACCATTATGGCAAAAATTTAAAAGACGGGGCTACAGTGAAGTATCTCCAAAGTTGGCCTTTGCGTTATCCCTGGGACCCATGTAACTTCTCAAAGCCTTCCAGAGGAAGGCGTGTTGTTAAAAAGAAATGGAAGAGACACGTTCTTTGAATTTCCTTCCTCGGTTCTCATCCACACTGCCCTTTATAATAGCATTCCAAATCTTAAGAATTGAGGGGCACCATGGAAGGTCCACCCTTCATTCAAGGTGCACATGGAGGGTCCTCAGCCTGCTTTTGGACAAGGCTCTGTTCTGTGAGGAATCCCGACTCTTTTAAGCCCTTTGCGGATCAAGCGTTCGTATCTCGGAGATGAAGAGCACCTGCTTTGGCCCTCCTTTCCTCAAAGAGCCTTGACATCTCTGTTGGGTTGTCTTCTGGCCGTTCTTGTTTGGAGACTGGGCACTCGCTGTCTCCACTTGCTTCCCTTCCGCAGCCTGAGACTGTTGCTAGAGGCAGCCTGGCTGGAACAAACTGTTCAACTGAAACGATTCAGCCTATTGTACGATGCCCCATTAAAACCGATTCCCCTCTAGAGCGCGTAATTCCTATAATTATTTCCTCCGAGCTGTAACCCTACAGGTTGTCTGTATGCAAACTCCTTAGTCACGGTACAAGGAGGTCTTGATTGGTGCAGTTAATGAATTCCACAAAATGGTCGCATCAGTCAAATTTGCATTATTCAAAGCGATATTTCCATAAAAATAGTACGGCGATGGGTTGCAGTGCGACGGAACTGGGCAAGGGCCGTGTTTAAACGTACATTTTTGTGTGTATATTAATGAAACATAAAAGTATACAAAGAGCATCCTTTAAACGTACGGTTAATGAAGTCACAGAGTCCCTGTAGAAAGCAAAATAAAAACAAAAGCTTTTGTTTGTTTGTTAAATTTAGATGCCACCCATCTCCCCGATTAAAAAGAATGAAAAGATAAATACAAAAAGAATTAAAATCTTAAAAACTATATAATAACTAGGGCCAAGGAAACAGATGGCACAGGGGTGAGATTGTCTTATCCCAGGGGTAGGCCACCTTGGCTCTTTTATGACTCGTGGACTTCAACTCCCAGAATTCCTCAGCCAGCTGTGCTGGCTCAGGAATTCTGGGAGTTGAAGTCCACGAGTCATAAAAGAGCCAAGGTTGCCTACCCCTGGACTAGTGCAGTGTTTCTTAACCTTGGCCGCTTGAAGATGTGTGGACTTCAACTCCCAGAATTCCTGAGCCAGCCATGCTGAGGGGAAAGGGAGAGGTTTCCATGCTGAGCCATGCTGGCTCAGGAATTCTGGGAGTTGAAGTCCACAAGTCATGAAGGGGCCAAAGTTTCCCTCATGCTGGCTCAGGAATTCTGGGAGTTGGCATCAAAGAGCCAAGGTTGCCTACCCCTGGTCTAGGGAATTCCAAAGGGGCTGGACCTAGACCATTTGTGCCAACGTAGTGACTCTAGGCTGATAACTCATTTTAATTCCACCACCCAACTCTGCCTGATCTTCTCCTACAGGTATAGTTCTTCCCATTTTGGTTCTTCTGCTGCTGTCAATCTGATTTCATTAGTCACTGGATAAGGCAGCAGTCTTGCTGAATCACCACATAGCCAGCTTCATAATCTGCTGATTTGACGAGATAGCGACACCTGGGGCTCCCAGGACCGATGTCTGAATGAGACCCAGGGCTCTACATTCCCCGCTTCTAATAAATCTGACCAAAGGACAGGACCAAGGCACTTGTAGGGCTCTTGAAACTCAAGAGGCTCCCAGAAGAAGCTGCCTTCTTCCACTTAAAATAAAAAAGCCAGTGCACCGATAGTGAGGAGGGGAGGCTGGTCTCCATGGAGATGGTTTATATATCAGTACCCAACTACTTGCTCTTAAAGCGATGAGAGCCATTTGGATGGAGTGTGATAGTAAGCGGTCTTGTTGAACACTGTAGGCAAGGATGAAGGCTGCTTTTTGACATTTGATGGGTTGCAGTAAAGAAGGGAGGGGGGTCAGTTTGTTCTCCAAAGCACCTGAAGGCAGGGCAAGAAACAATGGATGGAAACTGAACAAAGAGAGAAGCAACCTAGAACTAAGGAGAAACTTCCTGACAGTAAGAAAATCAACCAGTGGGACAACTTGCCTTTAGAAGTTGTGGGTGCTCCAACACTGGAGGGTTTTAAGAAGAGACTAGGCAGCCATTTGTCTAAAATGGTATAGGGTCTCCTGCTTGAGCAGGGGGTTGAACTAGAAGACCTCCAAAGTTCCTTCCAACTGCTATTCAATTTGATTTGATTCAGTTCTTCGATTCGGTTCAATTCTACTCTATCCTAATTATTCTATTCTATTCTGTTCTATTTTCTATTCTATTCTCTATTCCATTCAATTTGATTTGATTCGATTCTACTCATTCTATTCTTATTCTGTTTCTATTCTATTTCTATTCTATTTCTATTCTATTTCTATTTCTATTCTATTCTTGAAAGCAAAATTTAGGTTGATGTTCTTTCTGTAAGACCAAGTTCTCCCTTGCCCAAAGTATGAATAATTTCTTGAGAGTGCAGTTTTTGTAGAGCAGCAGTTATCTTTTAGAAGCTCTGGGATTGTCATAAGGTTTGGCAACAAGGCAACTGCTTATGCATGCGGCAAAACCAGAATTGGTTGCTTAGAATTTAGCATTGGATCTGCCCTTACATGCTTCCCCAGTTAATCAGATCTCTTTCCACCCAAGGTAACTTCCTTAAGATTTTGCAAAGCGAAGGTACCAGATCAGGATCTGGAACCTAAGAATGAAAGACATCCGGGTTGATCTCAAGAGGAACCAGCTTTAGGTGCTGCTATATTGAAGTGGGATTTCAACCAGGGAGTAAAGTCGGTGCTCTGGTCCACACTCGAAGGCCTGGCGTTTACAGACGGGAATATTCATCCACTGTGCCGGCTGTTGGATGACTGTGGGGCAAGCCTCACAGCGATGGAAAAGCTGGGATTCTGAGCATATGCTGTCGTGTTTTTTTTCCCCGGTTGCTATGGGGACCGTGCATAAAAGGGGACAGTCATGGCGAGGCAGTGGGATCTAGTGAGTTAAGCTGCGTGCAAACGAGGCGAAGTATCCTCAGCTCTCAATCCTTGCTCTTCCCTCGCTGACGGTGACCTTGAGGGGAAGGTCCCGGCCCCTTTGGGTATCCGTTTAGAATGCAGGGCTAAGAATAGCTGTGTTGTGGGGGTGTTGACAGGATTAGCCGGCATTTGTGAAAATCCTATCATTGGCTGCCAGTGAAATCTTTCCAAGGGTTAGGAGAAACCCCCCCCCCCCACTTTGTTTCTTTGGTTATGTGCCTCTTCTCCCGTAGCTTTAAAGGTAGCTTGGTATATGGGGAAACACCCTTCTCCCCCCAATAATGGACTAAAAAGATCAGAGTTCATGACTCAACTGTCACCTCCCTTGACTGCTCCAGACGGTTGGTGTAGGAAGAGGGGCTTTTACTACTGCCTAAGCACAGCCAAGCAAACAGGACCCTTTCAGATGTAATTTGGCAGCTGGGAGCGAGCAGAGATCTTCCTCCGTTTTCAGGAAAGGTGGGGATGAAACGCAAGCAGCAGCAAGATTTTCCCCCCCACACACACACACACACACATACACATACTCACACACACTGTGATGGAATTTAACACTTCCCTATACAACCTGTCTAGTAAAATTCTTTTCTGGCGGACGATTTTGAACAACGTAGAAATCTGCCTTTGCTTCCAATCTTGCAGTTTGGCTAGAGGAAAAAAACGGGCCAATGTATTTGCGCGGAGTTGTGTCCTGGGTCACAACTTTCAAACGAGTTTGTTTGTTCGTCCAGTGCGTGGGGGTGGTTTTTTTTTTTTTTTCCTTTTCCCGTAACAGTAGCTATAAAAGGTTGCATCTCCATCTTATCTTCCAGCGATTTCAAAGAGAAACCTTAGGCAAGCCTCGATTGATGTCGTAACCGATCCATTTTGAAATCTTAAAAAAACAAACCCCAAAACCCGATTCCAATCACAAGTATTAAAATCCCGCATTGGTGTGTTTTCTCAAGGCGAGGGAGGATGGCTAACTGGATGAAGCAATGTGTTCCTAAAGGATTCCTATTCTGTTCCTCCAGGTTGTATATTACACTGAAATGTACAAAATATTTGGCGACTTGACGGAACAGATTGACGAGCCCGACGTAACGGATGAGCAGAGAGAGAAAGAGAGCGAAACCAAGCTGAATGAGCTGAGGGCCCTCTCCATTGTGGCCGATGACTGACCCTCCACCTTAAAAGTCCTTTGTTGGTGTGACGGCTGCCGATGAAGTGGATAAAGACTGGAAGTTGAATATTACTTCTGATTTCTGAAGGCTCAAACCCTTTAAACCCTTGTTGGTGCCTGCTTTAAGCTGGAGTATTCTTGTTTTTGCCACAGCTCTTTAAATCCTGAACATCTTTATCTGTATTAATGTCAACCTGGCAAGATTCTCAGACCGAGTCCTGCGTTAGAGAGGTTGGTGAAGTTTGAAAAAAACGGAAGAATTTACCCTTAAACGGATAAATGAACCCGCTTTTTAATTCAGTCTTTCCAAAGTCGGGGTCCATCTGACAGCTGAATTGTGAGGGGGTATCCCCAATGAGTGTAGTTAACAAAGAAGATGTTATTGCCGATAACCTAATTGGCTAAAAAAAAATACAGGTAGTCCTCAACTTACGACCACAGCTGAGCCCAAAATTTCAGTTGCTAAGCGAGACATTTATTAAGTGAATTTTGCCCCATTTTACGACCTGTCTTGCCACAGTTGTTAAGTGAATCACTGTAGTTGTTAAGTTAGTCACACGGTTGTTAAGTGAATCTGGCTTCCCCCATTGACTGGGCTTGTCAGAAGGTCGCAAAAGGCCTGGGACACTGCAACAGTCATAAATGCGAGTCAGTTGCCAAGCCTCTGAATTTTGATCACGTGACCCTGGCGATGCTGCAATGGTTGTGTGAAAAACGGTCATAAGTCCTTTTTTTCAGTGCCGCTGTAACTTTGAACGGTCAGTAAACTAACTGTTGTAACTTGAGGACTACTTGTGCGTACTTTTAAGGAATGTCATCACTGCACTAAAGCCTTGTTCTGCAAAAAGCCCTGTCTGGTTTGTGTCTTTGTGGCCTTAAAACCTGTCTAAAAATTGTGGCACCCTTTAAAAACTGACTGGCATAGTAGCTTAATTCTATTGAATGCAATATAATTCTTCTGAGCATAAATCACGATTTTCAAAAACCAGGGAAAGGCACAGATTATAATTTCCCTTGATACAATCTACATAAATATTATACCTCGCGCTGTGCAGGTTTCTCTGGAAGTGTATCGCTACTGAAATGTTATTTATAGAGAAAGCAGTCTTGTTTCCTCAGCATTTTGTTGGTGAAATCCTTTGGTCATCGTATACAGGTGGCTGCGATTTAAACTAATAAATGTATTTCTTATTGGTGGCAGCTAGCCGGGAATGCAGGTATTCCTTTATTTTCCTGGACTAACTCCTGGCTTGTATTGGTGCCTTCCAACTGTTGTCTTCTTGCCTGTCTAATTATGATTAATGAGAATATTGTAGACGATTCTTTTGGTTCTTCTGTAACCCATACTTCTAATTTTATTTTTTCAAAAAAAAATAATAATAATAAGAGGATTGTTTGACTCTGTCCTTCTTGTGTATGAGAGCAGAGCTGCACCCATGACTGATGACTGATGAATGGGACACTGCCTAATTTTGCAAAGCTGTTTGAAAGCAGCTAGAAATAACTGGACATTCTCCATTTAGGTCACATTGCATACATTTTAAGAGTGGAGGCACCAGCCACATTTTATTAATTACGGTCAAACTCAACCACTCTCGTAAATGTGATCACGAAACGGCCCCAAAGGCTTTGTGTTGGGTTTTTCTTTCTCCATACTTGTAAAGCAAAGTACCTTGGGCACGTTTTTCAAATAATTGTGCTTTTGGGGGCTGCTTCCCTAAATCAAACCAAGCAACCCCTTGAGCAACAGCAGGCCAGCTGTGTGTGTGTGTGGAATTAAAGTCTGAAGGCTGCATCTGGGCTCAAAAAAAGGAAGAAGAGGCAAAGCACAATGTCCAAGTGAGGAAGAGACTTTTATAAAAGTAACTTGGCCAGTTAAATACAAGTTGGTACCACATTTACAGACTAAAAGCAACACATTCAGAAGTGACAAGACCACCTGAGGTGGGGGGAGCAGGTGGCCAGGGCAAACGTAGCAAATGCCTACTGGAGGAAGGCCTAAGCCCGGCCACTGCTTTGCGTAGGCCCACCGGCTATTCTTCTGCTAAAGTCTATCCCGGGGATCCCGACGGGCCCGGCTGTGTGCTATGTCTTCGCAATGGAAGTCCAAAGGATCTGCAGGCCCTCCCCGCTGCCCCAATTCCAGATCCTCAAAACTCAAGATCCGCTGAACGGGAATTTCACTTTTGCCTGAAGGCTAGCGATCAAAACCCCCCCATTGGGTCCCGGAGCTCCGTGTAGCAAGTAAAATGACTGGGTGGGGAGGGGGGGTTGATGATTGTGAAGGCCTTGCAGAGTTTTGGTTTTTCCCCCCCTTAAAATGGCTAAAATGCTGGACCGAGTATGTACGGTTTTCACACTCCAAGCCACAGCCCCGGAACAGAACTCGCAAGCTACCCTTAACGCACAATCCAGGAAAACCAGAGGCAGGAGCTGCTGGCCTGGGGCAACGGGCGAAAAGCCTGCTGATGGCATGGAGGCCGTTGCCGTCTTCCCCAAGGCACCGCCCGGCCCACCCGAGACAGGCAGAAGGCCACCCCCTCAAGCTAGAGGCAGAGGGGAGAGGGAGTGGAGGGGGGCTTAAAAACGTCTCCATGCAGCAGCACAAAGAGGCTAGCGATGCCTGGTCTTCTGAAACCGTCCGTCCCTGCACGGCTCTCCGTAGGGAACTAACTTGCTGTTGGCCAACAGCCCAAAATTACCTACCCTGGAGCTTCTCCGCTCGCACACTAGACCGTGAAAAATGCCTACCTAAGGGGTATTCCTTGAAACAAGAAGGGTGGTTCCAGCAGATGAACTGGGGCGCCTAGTCATGCGGGACTAGTGGCCCTTTTCCCCCCCAAGCCTGGGGGGAAAGGTGGTCGAGGATGGAAACCAACAGCAGCCTTTCCACAGAGTTGGCAAAAAAAAGGTGGACAGTTCCAAAGGCTTATTAACCCCCAACCGCTTAACTCACCGCCCCAAAATATCAAACCAAGGTGTACAGATCTTCCCTGCCAAGATGGTTTTCTTCACTAAGGGAGTATCAGTTGCTGGAAACGGAGGGTGACGTAGCTTCCTTTTTCTCTAAGCAGTTATTGGTCTGAAGGAGACAAAGGGAAAATAGGAAGAGAGAACGTTTATGACAAAAGTTTGTTAATGATCTGCAACCTGACAGCCTGATTGGCCTATTCCTGACAGTTAATCGGTGCAATGGCCTGCCTCCAGAAGCTGGGGGCGTTCCATCCTTGGAGGTCTTCAAGAAGAGATTGGACAACCATTGGTCCTGAATTGTATAGACCAGGGGTAGGCAACCTTGGCTCTTTTATGACTTGTGGACTTCAACTCCCAGAAATCCTGAGCCAGCCATGCTGAGAGGAAAGGAAGAGTTTCCAAGCTGAGCCAGGCTGGCTCAGGAATTCTGGGAGTTGAAGTCCACAAGTCATAAAAGAGCCAAGGTTGCCTACCCCTGGCCTAGGAGTTTCTGGTTTAGCTCTCTGAGCAGATGTCCAGTTCTAGATCTATCAAGCCATCATTGCTTGAAGATCGACGCTCCGGATTTACTTTAAAAAGCCCCACTGGTTCAATTGTCAACCTACCTTCTCAATTATCTTCTGGATTTCCAGATGCAAAGGAACCAGGCGCTTCTTATTCTCCTGTAGCAGCCTTTGAAAATGGGATTTTTGCTTTTCGGACACTTTAGATTGCTCCTCCATCTCCGTAAGGCGCTTCTGTAATTCCTGCACTTCCACTGTCAAAGCTTTGTTGGAAGCCTCCGTTGATGAGAAGCGGAGCTGCGTCTCTTCTGTAAGTGCAATAGATTGAAATTATTCTCCAGGCAAAAGTAACAAGAGATAAGAGAAGTGTAAGCTCCCAGTCAAAACAAGGGAGAGTCGAAATTGGCAATATCTCATTGAAGGAAAACCTACCGTATATACTCGAGTATAAGTCGACCCGAGTATAAGCCGAGGGACCGATTTTCCCACAGAGAACTGGGAAAAATTGGTGACCCGCGCATAAGCCGAGGGGGCATTTTGACTGTTCCTCCCTGGCCGCCTCGGCCCCCCCGGCCCTGTCAGTGAGCGCCCGGCAGGGCGCAGCGTCGCCAGGCCTCCCCCTTCACGCGAGGCTTCTGGCATTCCCCCTCGCGCTTGGCTACGGCTCGCCGCTTACTCCCCCTCCCCTGGCGCTGCGCTGCGCCTGCTTGCCTGGCGGCGGCGTCCGCAGCAGCAATGAGCTGGGCAAGCAGGCGGAGCGCAGCGCCGGGGGGGGAGCGAGCGGCGAGCCGCCNCGCCGCCCCCGCCGCCGCTGACTCGAGTATAAGCCGAGGGGGGCATTTTTCAGCCCCAAAAATGGGCTGAAAAACTCGGCTTATACTCGAGTATATACGGTATTTATATAAGGACCAATTACGGTACTCTGTAATTATGGCAATTATGGAATCTACAGGGGGCAGATTCCAGGGCAGGAACCTTTGCCTTTCACAATTCTACAGATACATTTTCGGAACCCCCTGGAGAACATTTCAAATACACGGACCTCTCCGTTGTCTGCCACCCTCTGTATGCTTCCATCTCTTTGCAAGCCGCCTAGAGTTGCTATGAGCAAGTCAGCGACTACATAAAAACTCTATAAACAAATAAATAAATCTCCATTTTTCTAGATGTTCATGCCGGCAGAAGCATAAACCGCTCGTCTTGAATCCGTCTCAGTTCCCCTAAAAAGAGTTCCACTATTTTTCATCCCACCTTCGCTGCCTACAATGGCAATTCAGTTCTTGCGCAGAAGCCGCTCAATTCTACCATCAAATCAGGTTTCGATTACTTAATGTCTGGTACTCCTTGCATGCAATCAAGAGTACGCCCCAATAAATACAACAGTTTGGACTCGGACCCTGCTTTCGTACATAAACAAGAGTTACGGAATTAGACTGGAAAATTCCACGTGACCGCAGGATGGCAGCAAATGTTTTAAAATGCCTCTCTGCTGCCATTTGGTGGTCACCCAGATATTAGCAGCCCAAATTTGGTAACCCAGGATATACAGCTTATCGACCAAAGCAGTTCCTCGCTGGTACAGATGGTAATCGAGGTGAACTGCCAGGAATCGTGACGACTGGCTGTATATGAATTAAATCGATCCAGCTGACTGCGCCCAGCACTCACCCAATTTTAGCTCCAGAGTATGGATTTTATTTTCCAGGTAAAGCCGGCTGTTTTCTGTCTGCTCTGCCTTTTCCAGTAGTTTGCTGACATTAAGGACAGCCCCATTGTAGGAAATCAAATTGGTAGACTGAGTCTCTCGGGTAGATTTGGTAAAAGAAGCCGACGAGCGCAAGAGATTGAGGTTGCCTGCAAGAACAAAGTAGTATTTATCCTACTTGACAAGGGAACGCCTTGATTCTGGGAACGGGGAGAAAAACCCGCAAAAAAAACCACAACACATGGATCCGTTGCTGCCATTTCCACTGCAAGCCTGAAGCTTTATTCTCTTTCTCGGCAACTTGACCCATCTTGGCAAAAGAACTCTGCTTTCCAGAAGTGAGCTGCATCTCAGTGGGAGGAGATACTGTGAAGGAGATCCTCACATACCTGGAATACCGGTAGTCCTCCACTTACAACCACAACCGAGCCCGAAGGCTTTGTTGCTAAGCAAGGTAGTTGCTAATGATCTTTCCCCCAAATTTATAACTTTTCTTGCCCCAGTTGTTCAGTGGCTCCGGCTCCCCCACTGATTTTGCTTGTCCGACGGTCCAAAAGGTAAATCAAATGACCCTGGGACAGTGCCACCATCACATAGGCCAGTTGGCCAAACGTCCACATTTTGATCACGTGACCGTGGAGACGCAGCACGGCCGTTTGTGTGAGAAACGGTCAAAAGTCACTTTTTTTTCAGTGCCGTTGTAACTTTTGAACCATCACTAAACGAATAGTGGTAAGTCAATGACTACCTGTATTTTCTTGGGAGGAGACAAAAGTGTTAGGAACCCCCCTCCCCTCAATCCAGACCTCCTTGCACACAGAATGCTCAATAAAAGCCCTCCATTATTGCACTGGAACAAGCCTTAGAAGGCAAGCTATGTTAGCACGACATCCACGATGCATCACAGTTCCTTCCCCACCCCATGCCTGTAACTTACCTGACAGCTCTTCCTCTTCAAGGCCTGCCTCCGTCCCTTCCTGCCGGCTGTAGTGCAGGCTGCGATAACGGCACACAAACTGTGTCACCACCCTGTTCACCAAGCGCTTCACCTACCAGCAGATGAGACACCCCCTTAGGAGTGGCCGTGGGAAAAGCCCCCCCGACCAATCCCCGCGCCCTAAGGGCAGTCCTAAGGGCAGAGCCCAGCAGATGCTCACCTGCTCTTTGCAGAGATGAAGCCCCAGTGTGAGGAGGATCTTGTCCACATCCTTCCTATGCAGGTAGCCACAGAAATTCAAGTCAAAGTAAACGAAGGCAAGGAGGGCATCCAAGGGCAGCACAGTACTTGGGTCCAGCTCTCTAGGCTAAGCGTGGTATATAAAAAGGAGGAGAGGGGGGACAGTCTCACTCCGTGCTCCATTTCACTGGTCCAGAGATGCCAACTTTGTAGACTAAAGGTTCCCAAGCCACCAGTGGCAACATCAAGACAGGTGCCCAATACATGTTTATCACAGATCACACTGCTGAGGTAAGCTGTAGAATGATTCACCAACAGCAGCCACTATCAGGGTTCAGTCACGTTACTGGGGCATCCTATAATGACATTGGGGAATGCACTATGTATATATATTGGATGCTAGCTGGAACCTCAGAACTTCAGATGATGGCCTTTCTTAGAACACAGGAAACATCCTGTTCTGGCCTTCTAAAAAAAGTCACAAATAACCTTAAGTTAGGATTTCTAAAATCATTTGCTAAGAAGGGGAGGGGAAGAGAAGAGAAGAGAAGAGAAGAGAAGAGAAGAGAAGAGAAGGAAAGAGGAGAGGAAAGGAGAGGAGAGGAGAGGAGAGGAGAGGAGGAAAAAATGGAAGAGAAGAGATAAAATAAGAAGGAAAGAGGAGAGAGGAGAGGAGAGGAGAGGAAGAAAAAATGGAAGAGAAGAGAAGAGAAGAGAAGAGAGAAGAGAAGAAACCGAAGCTACGGCTTAACACGCTATGAATCAGATCAACACGCTAACTAATTAAGTCTCAAACAACGCTTCCAAAGTCAGCACCGGAATAGGTAGGTTACAAAGTCAGCAAGATCCCCAGAAAAAAAAACATACTATGGTTTATACCCCAGTCTTCCCAAGACAGCTGATTAAACCACGATACACCCGTTAAGAAAACTCAGGCGTCACCAAACGTTGAAGAAGAGCTGGCCACTAACCATTTCAGGGAGGGAGGAAATCTCAATTTCTGACTGGTTGGATGCGACAGATCTCACTTCAGCATCTTCCAGCTTGACACCTGTGGGTAAGGCAACAGGACCTGCTTCAGAAGCTGACTGGATCCCTTCAGTGTATTTAACAAGAGGAAGGTCTCTGAGCGGGCAGCAAGTGCCTTTCAGTGGCTGCCTGTCTGGAGACAGCGCTGAGGCAGCTGAACGCGGATCCAAGGCCACGGAGAGGAACGGGGCAGTCCCGATTTCCCCAACAGAGAAGAGCCAATGGATTTCCATCTCATCTACAACTAAGGTTAGTGATAAGGGCAACTCTCTGCAGGTAACATGTGTCCCCACCACAGAGGTAAGATTAACTCAAACTGTACTACATTTCCCAGACTGCTTACCAAAATCCTCCTCTTCATCCTCTCTTAGGAGCAAGAGGTCATCTTCCATGCTCAGCTCACAGAGGTCATTGGTGGAATCCTTGGCTTCTGCTTTGACGTTCCCGCTGACCTTCTCTTCCTTGGTCGAATTGGCCCCATCTTGATTCAGGGGCTTCTTCTCAGCCTCCCCGGCCCCTTCTCTCTGCACGAATGAAAAGGACATGAACAGTGTGATGGCTGTGCCCCAAAGCAAAGAGCTATTGGGAACGGATAGGGAACCGGATACAGGAGATAACCAAGGTGCAAACTGAATTCAAACCTGGACTATTTCTTCTGGGTATCATAAATTTAAAGATCAAAAAGCAACTCCAACACATCATTATACATATATTGACAGCAGCCCGTATAGTATACGCTCAGTGCTGGAAGGGTGAAAACATACCTACAAACCGATACGGTTATATACAAAATTCTTGAATGCGCGGAAATGAATAAACTTAACGCTAGAATTAAAAGACAAGGAGGCAACAGAATTTTATGAAATATGGAACAAATGTTATGATTGGCTAGAACAAAGAAAGAAAAAGACATGATTACTGAGGTAAATAAATTGCAAATAATATGTAGGAGATGTAGAACACAGTTTTGTTAAGGGAAAAAAATGTATTTTCTCAGTTTTATTTTTGTTGGACAGTGGAAAAAGGAAAAATTTAAATTTAAAAAAAAAGAACAGTATCTATGCCTTACCCAAAAAAACAAAAAAAGCCCCATTATCCTCCACAATCGGAAGAAAATGCAAACCGTGCAGCCAAAGAAAACGTGAGGGGATGTAAGTGGCCAAACGTGGAGGGGCCACCCAATTATCCTGAGGTCCGGAGAGTTGTGTAGACTTACTTGAACTTCCTTCTGGTTACTCTCTGGTGTATCTTCTGCTCCGGGTTTCTCCTGAGGTTCCTCCTTCAGTTCGTTCTCCGCCTCCTTTTCAGATTTGATCCCTTTTTCCGCCTCGGGATTCTTGGCCTCTGGCGGCTCCTCCTTTTCTGGCAGGGCCAGCAGGGCTTTATAAAGCTTGTAGCCAAAATCACGCTGAAGCATCTCCTGGAAAGTCTCTGCCACCACTGCCACCTCAGGGGGGGAAGGAGGAGCAAGAGAGATCAGGGATCCAGAAGGTCGGACAGATCTTGGGATCACAAACTAGGGAAACGTTAGCGTTCCTATGCCTATAGGGCAGGGGTAGGCAACCTCGGCTCTTTTATGACTCATGGACTTCAACTCCCAGAATTCCTGAGTCAGCATAGCTGACTCAGGAATTCTGGGAGTTGAAGTCCATGAGTCATAAAAGAGCCGAGGTTGCCTACCCCTGCTATAGGGTGTATGTTTGATTTAACAGATTGTGGATTCAACGAACAGAATCTGTTGAAAGGGGAGGCTGGCTGAGAAGAATGAGAAGAGAAGAGAACAGAACAGAAGAGAAGAGAACAGAAGAGAACAGAAGAGAAGAGAACAGAAGAGAACAGAAGAGAAGAGAAGAGAACAGAAGAGAACAGAAGAGAAGAGAAGAGAACAGAAGAGAAGAGAAGAGAACAGAAGAGAAGAGAAGAGAACAGAAGAGAACAGAAGAGAACAGAAGAGAACAGAACAGAAGAGAAGAGAACAGAAGAGAACAGAAGAGAAGGTGCTGGGCAGGCTGGTGGGACATCAGCACTGGGACGTTGGGAGGCACAATCCAGTGGAATATGCCCAGTCCTAAGGGGAAAGGAGGTGGTGACGCATACCAGCCCATCACGGTTAGCTAATCTCTGGCTTTAACAGGCATTGGGCTTTCCACTTCTACTAAACAGAAGGTTTACTTCAGTTTAGTTTGCATTTTTAAAAAGCATAAACATCTCGATGCTCGCACGATACTGGACCTACCCTCACAAAATCCACTTTGCACCTCTGCTCTTCCCAAAGGTTCCCCTTCCCCACCTCTTACTTGTATGCATCTTATTTCTCCTGGTAATTCACCCAGGGCTGCCTCTTCCGAGCTCTCTTGATACCACCTTATGGCTGGGACAGAAGAGGGGGGGGGAACCTAAATGCGCACGGCCACAGGGGGCTTCTCTTCGCGCCGGTTCTTATGAATCATAGGAACCATCAATGTGGGGTGCTTGGGGGATCTCTGTTGTGGCTCCGTCTTGTGAGCCCCTCTTATCGGAGGAAGAAGGCTCCGAACATGAAGGAGAGGAGAGGAGATGGCCAGGCCTCCCTCTCCAGGACCCTCCTCTTTGGCAATGCCTCAGGTGTCTCCTGACGGAGAAGAGATTGACCAGGAGCCAGGTGTTTCTGAGATTGGCCAGGAGCCAGATGTTTCGGATAGCGGCTGGATCCACACCAGCGTAGGAGCGACAAGCGTGCGCAGCAGAAAAGGAGACGTGCCAGAGATTAAGCTGAGTCACTGGACCACACCCCACAGGCTATAAAAGGGAGGTGGTGGCCATTTGGACCTCTGTGACGGACAAAGCTAAATCTCTGGCGAAGTAGTTTACTGTGGACTTAATTTCAAACTGTGTGTATTGTTTTTTGTTCTCTGAGTAAAAGTCTTGGCAGGCAGCTACGGAGCTGCTGCCAAGTTTCTTATCTGTAGTGTGGAGTGTGGAGAAGTTATTTAACCCTCGGCTGGCTGTTTGGGTGTGTGTGTCAGATGGGGACAGAACACTCTCTGTGCCTGACTGTCTTTTTGCAGATGTTTCGTTACCAAACTGGTAACATCCTTTAGCACTGGTGATGTCAGTTTGGTAATGAAATGTCTGCAAGAAAACTAAGCTCAGAGGCCCCACAGTTCAACCTTGAGCTACGAATATTCTCTTCTCTCTTCATCATAAATGCTAGGTAATTCACGCCGTTGGGCACTCCCAGAACCCAATGTTCTAATTACAGGGGGGGGGGGTAATCTAAGCAGCAGGAGCTGGGCCAGAGGAGGGGGCCAGCTACACACATCCCTTGGGAAGGTCCATCCGAGAGACATAAAGCCTACCTCAAAGGAGAGCTTTTCCCGCTGCCTCCTGTACTCCAGCAAAGCGTAAAGAGAGACGTTGGTACAACTAGGCTGCCCATTTTGCAGGGCCAGCTGAGAGCAAACAACTATGGCTGGCTCCAGCGGAGGAGTTGGGGTCTCTGGTTCAGAAGCCGACGTCTCCAGGGCGGGCTCCGGGACCGGTTCAGCCGAGTCCATTTCCTGCTCGCAGGACTCCATTTCTTGCTCCGGACCTGGTTCGGAGGTTTGTTCAGTTTCTTCCACCTGTTTAGAAGCATCATCATTAGAGGGCAAAACAGAGATATAGAAGTTGGAGATCCCAAGGACTCCAGCCAAAATCCTTCCAAAAGTGGCCGCCATACTGTAATTCAGCAAGAAAGCTATTATTGTTTTTGGAAGAGGAGCACAAATTGAATCAAAATTAGTTTTGCGCTTGGTTCCCGTTGATTTCTTGGCCCTGATCTGGCTACTACTGGTGTTCTGCTCAAAAGCCCTCGGCACGAAAAAAAAGTTGTACGTCTTGAATCTATTTCAGGGGTCTCCAAAGTTGGCAACATTAAGACTTGGGGACTTCCACTCCCCGATTCCCCCAGCCAGCCACAATCTACAAGTCTTAAAGCTGCCACGTTTGGAATCCCCTGATCTAGTTCAACAGAAGCATGCTCTCAAGAGCCAGGAGAAGTGGGGAGAAAGGGGAGGGGAGTGGTGAAGGAAAGAGGAGAGGAGAGGAAGAAGAGGGAAGTAAGAAAAGAAAGGGAGAGAGGAGGTAGAGAAGAAGGAGTGTGGATACGGTGAAAGGGGAAATGGGTGAGCAACACCAAAAGTCACGTGTATGTATTTATTTCATTTTATTAAAAGTATCTTATATATATAAGAATGTAGAAAGAATGTATGTTAACATGTGATAAATATCGCGGTATATGTATGGGGGAGAGTTGGGAAAAATAAAAAAGTTTAAATTAAAAAAAAAGAATGCCTAATTTCAACCTAAAAAGGCAAGGCCAACAATCAAATCACATCTGTCCATTTAAACTAGCGGAGGGCGGGATAAAGCTAAGGTCACAAAACGTGCCATCCATGGAACTCTCAGGAGGCAGGATGTAAAACAGAGGTAGTCAACCTTGGCTCTTTTATGACTTGTGGACTTCAACTCCCAGAATTCCTGAGCCAGCATGGGGGAACTATGGCCCTTCATGACTCGTGGACTTCAACTCCCAGAATTCCTGAGCCAGCATGGGGGAAACTTTGGCCCCTTCATGACTCGTGGACTTCAACTCCCAGAATTCCTGAGCCAGCATGAGGGAAACTTTGGCCCCTTCATGACTGGTGGACTTCAACTCCCAGAATTCCTGAGCCAGCATGGNAACTATGGCCCCTTCATGACTGGTGGACTTCAACTCCCAGAATTCCTGAGCCAGCATGAGGGAAACTTTGGCCCCTTCATGACTGGTGGACTTCAACTCCCAGAATTCCTCAGCCAGCATGAGGGAAACTTTGGCCCCTTCATGACTGGTGGACTTCAACTCCCAGAATTCCTGAGCCAGCATGGCTCAGCTTAGAAACCTCTCCCTTTTCCCTCAGCATGGCTGGCTCGGGAATTCTGGGAGTTGAAGTCCACCAGTCATAAAAGAGCTAAGGTTGCCTACCCCTGATGTAAAACATAACCAGCTCATGTATAAATGGGAAGAAATGGATTCGACACTTCAATTCTACCCATCATCTGAGAGAGTGACCCCCCCAATGCCTTCCTGCTCCAATTAAACTTTAGATACGGGCGGAATCCACTCTTACCGCCTCACTTTTTTCTTCCGAAGGCGGCGTGGCCTTTTCTGCTTTCTGCTTGCACGAGGCCTCCCACTCTTCCAGAGATGGCATCAGGCTCCAAAGATCGGGCAAGAAAACCACGGTCTGCTCCTGGCAAGATGGATTTCCCTCACGCAGGTATCTGAACTCAGCAAACCGGTACCTAAGGAACATCAAGGGCAGAGAATTCAGATTTTTTTTAAAAAAAAAAGACTGTTCCCCCCAAAATGTGCCAGTCCCAGCCATGGGAATTCAATCAGCGTTCAACTACAGATTGGATGCAGAACTGTGTTCCTGAAAGGGCCTATAAGTGGTTGAATAGAATCGTATCGCTGGAAGGGACCTTGGAGGTCATCTAGTCCAACCCCCTCCCCAAGGCAAGATTCTTATACCGGCCTGGTCAAATGGCTGAGCAGTCTGTTTTTGAAAACCTCCCGTGATGGAGCACCACAACTCTGGGAGGCAAACTGTTCCATTTATATTGTTCTATTAAAAAAATATGTAAAAAATATGTAAAAAAGACGTTGAGACTCTAAAAAGAGTGCAGAGAAGAGCAACAAAAATGATTAGAGGACTGGAGGCTAAAGCATATAAGGAATGGCTGCTGGAATTGGGTATGTCTAGTTTAACGAAGAGAAGGACGAGGGGGGACATGATAGCAGTCTTCCAATATCTCAGGAGCTGCCACAAAGAAGAGGGAGTCAAGCTATTCTCCAAAGCCCCTGAAGGCAGGACAAGAAGCAACGGATGGAAACTAACCAAGGAGAGAAGCAACCTAGAACTAAGGAGAAACTTCCTGACAGTGAGAACAATTAACCAGTGGAACTACCTGCCTCCAGAAGCGGTGAATGCTCCAACACTGGAAGTTTTTAAGAAGAAAATGGACAGCCATTTGTCCAAAATGGTATAGGGTTTCCTGCCTGAGCAGGGGGTTGGACTAGATGACCTCCAAGGTCCCTTCCAACTTTTATTATTTTATTATATTATAATATTATTATTGTTGTTTGTTGTTTGTTGTTGTTGTTGTTGTTGTTGTTGTTGTTATTATTATTATTATTATTATTATTATTATTATTATTATTATTATTATTATTATTATAAGTTTTCTCCCTACTTCTACGGTGTATCTCTCTTTAGCAAGCTCCACCCATTACTTTTTTTCCTGCCCTAAGGTAACCTAGAGAATAAGTCAATCCCTTCTTTTCTGTGACAGCCCCTCAAGTTCTGGAAGACAGTTATTATATCCCCCCCTGCATAGACCTCTTGCCCAGCTCCCTTCATCAAAACAAACGACTCCCGTTGTCACCATTGATTTTTAAACTAAACTGTTACAGGCAGTGAAGTGATGCCATGCAGACTCTTTGAGCAATCTCTGTCTCACTGACCAGCAGCACAACCTGGTTGGGCACCACCAGATGTGCCTTAAACCTATTTCTGGGTTCGGGTCTCTGCTTACACACACGTTTTTGTCATGCATGCAAGACGTGCTTTAGAGCACGGGTGTCCAACCTTTTGGCTTGCCTGGGCTGCACTGAGCAAAAAAAAGAATCGTCTTGGGCTGCATATAAAAATATATAATAGAGTTAATGTACGTAAGTAACAAACTTCCTTTTTTATTTTTGATACAAACTTGTGGGGCCACATTACTAACTGTCCAGGCCCACGTGCAGCCTGTGGGGCCACGGGTTGATACATCTGCTATAGGTAAAAACGGGACAATTCTTTGCTGTACATCTACCTCAATGAGATGCAACGACTAGGAAGAAAAATGTTAGTTATTTAGCCAAGATGACAATAATGACAATCAGAGCTCCAGACCCAAACCCATCTGCTATCAAGCCCTCCTTCCCCCAGAACTCCACGTCGTGCAAAAATACAAAAAAATTAACTCCCTGCAATTCCTGCCCTTAACATCGCCCTGCGGGATCTTCGGCCGTTCCTTCTGTCCGTTCTACCTCGTTGTCTTTCTTAGGGCTGGAGTTCTGCCCAGACAGAATTAACTTCAGTCAGCAGACTCTACTAGAGAAGAGAAGAGCAGGGATTTCTGAGGAACAACACCGTCCCCCCCATCTAGGCTGAACTCCACACACGTGGCCGCGCGCCACAGGCCCCCCCCCCAATCCCTTCCCTCCCAAGTCTGATGCTTCCCCAGCGAGTCACGTGTAGCGCCTGATTTATACAAAATAAGTTTGGTTGCCATGGTTATCTAGCACAAGGGAGCTATATATAAACCATGCTCCTTCCAACTACACCAATGCACTCCAAGTTCCGGCATTTTTTCCTCGTTGCCGATTGGGTGAAGGGAAGATCGTGTGGAAGCCTTCCTCTGGCTCCTAAGCACTCATGCACAAAAGCATGTGCAAGACTTCCAGGAAAGCAGAAGGCCAGGGTTCTGGATTAACAAGTGGAAGGGGGCTTCTCTGAAAAGCCCAAGTATTAGGCAGGCACACAAAACCAGCCCAAATCCTCATGCTTGGCCACTGTCAGACGGATATCAAATCATGCTGGTACCGATAGCCGCCTTCTCTCGGCATCGGTGCTTCCTCCAGGGATGGCTCCTCCAAGGGAGAACGTTAAGATGAAGTGAAACAAGCCAGAAAAATAAATGGCAAGTTGCAAAAAAATGATCTTCTTAGCTCACAGAAAGACAACGACAACCTTACGATGAAAGAACTGCCAACTTTGTTCAACTCAAAGGCCACCTTTTGCCTTTGGGCAACATGTTAAAAGAGGATGCCCTTTTATCTATAGCAGTGGTTCTCAACCTTTTTAATGCCGCGACCCCAACCGGTCATAAGTCAAGGACTAAACCGGTCGTAAGTCGAGGACTAAACCGGTCGTAAGTCGAGGACTAAACTGGTCGTAAGTCGAGGACTACCCAACCGGTCGTAAGTCGAGGACTTTCCCTGCCCGGGAGTGCCGCGCATGCGTGGTTCCGCCCCTGCGCCGGCCGAGGTGTAGCTGGCAAGCGGCAGAGACGGAGCAGGCCGACCACCAGCTGGCCCAGCCCAAGGGAGGTAAGGCACCCGCCGGAAAAGGGGAAAAAAATGGCGGACAAAAAAATGGCGGACAGCCTTGCTTGGCGACCCCCATGAAATGGTCGATCGACCCCAAATGGGGTCCCGACCCACAGGTTGAGAACCACTGATCTATAGAAATAAAAATGTAAATGTTTGTTTGTTCAAAATCTTAAATCTCCGAAAGTTCTTCACCGATTGCTTTGAATTTTTGACACAACGTTGCATTCGAGTACGCGCGTGTTTTTATGTACCTTATATCTACTATTATATAGATGTCACACCTGTGGCAGGTAAAAACATGCTTTTTTTGAAAAACAGCGCCATCTGTTGGACGTAAAAGCAACACACGCTAGCATTGTGAAATTAAACATATTACAAATGTGCGCTTTTGTCTTTTCTTTCTTTTCCATTTAACCAGACTGAGCCACAGCAACGCGTGGCCGGGTACAGCTAGTTTCAAATAAAATACAACTCAAACAACACTAGCTAAATACTAATAGTGTTACTCCCAGTTTATTTTCCTACCTTCCCTTGCATCAATTAAATATTATAATTCAACGGAGCTTTCCCAAAAAAAAGATTTCAGTTAAGTCTGCTCTACAGCTTGAGCATGTCTAGGTTTCCTAGACCCCATAAATCTCTACTCCCATCTATTGATTCCTGCTGATCTTATTTTCTTGTAAAAAAATATTATTTATTTTATGCAACGTGTTTCAGGCAATCTAAATATGCATCAATCTGACCGTCTAATCTCAGAGGTACAAATTATCCTCTAAAGCAAGCCCAAATCTCCTCCTCCTACCAATTAAGTACACTTAATAGAAAGTCTTCCTTGGAGGGGGGGGGATGTCCAGTCATGCAGATCCAACTCAAGATTTTGGCACAGAAGAGAGTTCAAAAAAATCCCCCTTTCTTGTAGAGTCTCACGCAATGACACAACTTGCTACAAAATGCACCACCTAGTGGGCCCAGCTGGCTATTTTAATCTTACCTCTGGGTCTACAGAAGAAGGTAAAATGACTCTAATGCACCCCTTGAAGTCAACATAATTAAAACAAACATTTTCAAGACCGATACATGTATTGCCACATCGGCATCCGTAGACTAGACGTCCCTCAAAAGTCATGGGAAGTGATGACACAGGAATGGCTTGGGATTCGGATGCCAGGCAACATTCTGGCTTATATTTGCTTCAACTAGCTCGGAGATTCAAAGGATAATGCTTAGTCTTGCAGACAGAGATTCCACCTTTCGCGCCATCGCTTCAGGAGTCTGGTAGCAGACTAACCAAAGATTGCACTTTGATATGGCCCAAGGGCTAATCAATCAATCAAATACTCTTTTAATCAAAGAGGTTAGAATGTGAGCTGCAGCTCCCTCTCCAGATGCAAGGAGTGGCTGATAACGTTGCCCCAATTTGCTCCCTGCATCCTCAGTTCACAAATGTTCAGTCTCTTATGTCAACAACAACAACAACAACAACAAAAGAGGATGGGGATGGAAGGGACAGCTCGACGGCAGAAGGCTCACCACTTCGTGCAGGTGCTCAAATCCAAGCCAATCTGGGCTTTGACGCAACGAACGGCTGTGCGGATCAGGACCGTGGGGCTCGTAGCTGGGTCAGGACCATCCAGAGAGGGGGACCACTCTCCTCCCAGGAGCACCAGCTCATCGGCCTTCTTTTCCAGCAGGAACTGAGGAAAGAGACACTCTTCAGGAGAAAGACCCACCAGCCCTCTGCTTTAGATTTCAAGGGGGGGGAGGGGGCTCCCAGGAAGCTTTGCAGACAGAACTGGAGAGATACACCGCTGTGGAAACTGATCAAGGAGAGAAGCAACCTAGAACTAAGGAGAAACTTCCTGACAGTGAGAACAATTAACCAGTGGAACAACCTGCCTCCAGAAGCGGTGAATGCTCCTGCACTAGAAGTTTTTAAAAAGAGACTGGACAGCCGTTTGTCTGAAATGGTATTAGGGTTTCCTGCCTGAGCAGGGGGTTGGACTAGATGACCTCCAAGATCCCTTCCCACTCTGTTATTCTATCCTTCCTTCCTTCCTTCCTTCCTCCCTCCCTCCCTCCCTCCCTCCCTTCTCCAACACTGGAAGTCTTTAAGAAGAGACTGGACAGCCATTTGTCCGAAGTGGTATAGGGTTTCCTGCCTGAGCAGGGGGTTGGACTCGATGACCTCTAAGGTCCCTTCCAACTTTATCATTATTATTATTATTAACTAAGGAGAAACTTCCTGACAGTTAAAACAATTAACCAGTGGAACAACCTGCCTCCAGAAGTGGTGAATGCTCCAACACTGGAAGTTTTTAAGAAGAGACTGGACAGCCATTTGTCTGAAATGGTGTAGGGTTTCCTGCCTGAGCAGGGGGTTGGACTAGATGACCTCCAAGGTCCCTTCCAACTTTATCATTATTATTATTATTAACTAAGGAGAAACTTCCTGACAGTTAAAACAATTCACCAGTGGAACGACCTGCCTCCAGAAGCGGTGAATGCTCCAACACTGGAAGTTTTTAAGAAGAGACTGGACAGCCATTTGTCTGAAATGGTGTAGGGTTTCCTGCCTGAGCAGGGGGTTGGACTAGATGACCTCCAAGGTCCCTTCCAACTTTATTATTATTATAAACCCTGAGACAGGGAAGTGACTAGAAGACTCTGCTTTTCACAAGGATGGTCTAGATATCCACCCGTCCCAATGCAAAACGTGGATCCGGTGAAAAAGGTTGGCCAACAAAAACAATTCTGTGTGGAAGACCACCCCAGGATGATTCTACATCCTTGCTTTTTTTTTTTAGACTGAAGGAGACACTTGTACGATATCCTAGGGCAGGGGTAGGCCACCTTGGCTCTTTTATGACTCGTGGACTCCAAACTCCCAGAATTCCTGAGCCAGCTTGGCTCAGCTTGGAAACCTCTCCCTTTCCCCTCAGCGTGGCTGGCTCAGGAATTCTGGGAGTTGAAGTCCACGAGTCATAAAAGAGCCAAGGTGGCCTATCCCTGTCCTAGGGTCACACTCCAAAAGTGGAAGGGTCCCCTGGTTGATATCCATACTACCGATTGCTTTTTGGAAAACGTTATCTGGAATGAATCCTTGGCAGATGAACTAAGAGCTACTGAATTATGGGCAGTAATGTCCTCCTCTAGTGAGGAGACCTTCAACTTGTCAGCTTAAGGACTTCTTGGCTGCCCAAACTAAAGGACATGAAGGTGAACCCTACAACACAAGAATGAAACTTGACTTCCAAACAACTATAGTTCCCAGGAACACCCCACTCTATCAATAATCAAAGTCTGGAGGTAACACTGCCTTTGGAGACAAATGCAACTCATTTACATTACATCCAGCTAACGTTGCTCACCTTAATTTGCTTTGTGGGATGTTCAGGGATCTCCCTCTGATCACTGGGCTCCTCGATATAAAGCAGACAATTGCGGTAGAATTCTTCGATGCCGGGAGAAGCAAGCAGCAGAACCTACACATCGGAGAGGAGTTCCAGAGCAGCGTGAGTGCAGCTGCAATGCAGGCAGAAAATTCCCAATAATCTATTACCAAAGCCTCAAACGAAAGAAGACATCGGTGCCCGAGATCTCAAGAGAGGCTTCCCAAGTTACAGAGGATGATGGTGGATTTAATTATGACATTTTTTTAAAAAAACATGGTTTTTGTGTCATCTGCAAGAGAGTTAGGACCCGACAATGAATCTGCCTAGCCAAGTTAGATTGTCCACATTCCAGGTCTGTTTTAAGGAGGTAATGAAACTCTTTCATACAACCAGTTTTCCTTGAATGATTCTATTCTTTGATTCTGAGGTATTTTAAAAATAGGCCTGCCTTTCAATCTGGTGTTTATTTTAACACCTGTTATCTATAAGCTGTGGTTTTATAGATAAAAGGGAGCGAGGGAGATGGACGGTTAAGAAATGTGAAAAATAAATAAGAAAGGAAAGGAAAGGAAAGGAAAGGGAAGGGAAGGGAAGGGAAGGGAAGGGAAGGAAGGAAGGAAGGAAGGAAGGAAGGAAGGAAGGAAGGAAGGAAGGAAAGAAAGAAAGAAAGAAAGAGGAAGGAAAGAGAGGAAGGAAGGAAGGAAGGAAGGAAGGAAGGAAGGAAGGAAGGAAGGAAGGAAGGAAGGAAGGAAGGAAGGAAAGACATGTCTTATAATCAACTTAATAAAATAGGCAAGATTTTACTAATGCAGGCTTCTGTACACGCCGCATTTTATTGGTGCTCCCTAAAAGGAATCTGGCAGAATTGTTTGCAAACAACATATAAAGCACCTACCCATTTATTTCCTCACTACTGTACTTTGAATATTTTTAAAAAAAGACTAAACAGAAAGGGATTGATTTTAAATGGATGTAAACAAATAAAATGAAGAACCACTATCGTAGGGGCCTTGATCACCCAACAAATTCAACCACAGGATAAATTTATACCACGGAATTTGTTGAGAAGAGGGTACCGAGCATTAAGAGAAACGACAGTGATTTTACGTGCTTCTAATGTCTGCCCAACACCCCTGCAGAGTTCAGCTCAGCTCAGCTCACTGCCGCCATTTGCCCTTCCTCTCTGTCAGCTGTTAACTCCCTGCGGTTGAACAGAACAGGATCCAAACTGTTTCACCTTGGCACTGAATGCAGGATTTGCGTCCTCCGGCTCAGCCTCCTGCCTTGTATCCTCTTCAGTCTGAGACGATTCTTCAGCAGGACCGGTCACTTGGATACGACTAGGATGCTTCAGAGTCAATGGCTGGCTCAGAGGGAAGGTGTCCAACCAGCAGAGGCGGACGTCATAGAATTCTTTGGGCAGCTGGATGCTGCAGTAGCGCCTCAAGATTTCCATGGCATCGCAGAAGGGGCTGGCGAGACACAAAAGATCCCCCTTTTATAGGACGTCGACACTCCTTCGTGTGTCTTATTCAGAGCAGGTGGAAGGTTGAGTTTGCTCATTCATTTGAGCAGAGCACTAAATCAACACACTGAAGTCAACATCGGCTAAGCTTTAAGTATTTGCTCTCCGTATCTAAACCAAACAGTGCCCAAGCAGTTAACAAGCATCTCCCCAACAACAACACCATTCCTCTCTTTTATAAGAGGCCAAACCAGACATCTACTTTGTTACCTATCTTCAAAAAAACTTGACCTCAAGGCCTAATAGTGAAATAACGCATTGCTCTCATCTTGACCAACGTTGAACTTTCCCCAGTTTAGCTCCTCCAAAGGTTTGACCCTGAGGATTGTGGGAGTTGCGGGCCCTTCCTGTCTAGCCATGGAGATATTGGGGGAAGGGTGTCTGGGGTAGACCCTTGTCCTCATATGAGTCACAAAAAGCAGCCATATCTTCCTATCTCACCTTTATGGCAAATCCCACGACTCCTGTTTGCTCTTACCTGTTCACAGTATAGCAAGCCAACTGGACTCGGTACTGGGGTGGCTCGTGACGAGGCTTCTTCACCCCCCAGGGCTCGTTACCCTTCTGCTTTCTCTTCTTGGAGTCAAAGTCATCCCTAAAAGGGAGAACAACGTAGTCGCATCAGCCAAAGTTACACGCTGCACTGAAATCCTAAGTTTTTCCAGTTTGGTTCTCGGCAAACACAACCTCGGAAGAGAGCGATACTGTGGATAGCCAACTAGTGTCAACGCTGCTAACATCGGATGTTCTTGCTTTGACAACCTATGGAGATGCAGCCTTTTTTTTCCTTATGCTTTACTCTTAGAATTACATGATACTGGGTGGGGGGAGGAATGTGATGGGAGTTAGTTAGACATAACAATATTGTAATAGCGTGTGACTTCAGGACTTTTGAAATAAGAGATGATAAGGAATGGCCGGGTTGGAGTAAAGGAGGGGAAGCCTGCATTTCAAACTAATTGGAGAATGTGATTTATGACTGTTAATTATAGGAGGGCATTGTGTTTGATATGTTGGTGAGACTGGAAGAATGCTGTGGCAACACAAAATGATCCATTGCGATTCTTACCATCTGCCTGACTCCTGCCTGCCTTTCGGACCTCGACCAGCGTATCTCCCAAGGTGGCCCAAGTGGAGTGATGGAGATGTCTGGAAGAGGCTCATTGCTGGAAAAGGAAAATATTCAGCCTTGATTTTTCCTCCAAGGACAACTCCTTTGCTTCTTGAACTAGACCTTACATCACTCCAGATCAGCTATAGGTGGTTCCAGGTTACATGCACCTGGATGCATGTAAGTTTATCCACCTCACGATGAGAAACCAGGATGGCAAAATCACACACTTTCCAAAATGCCATTCAATTTCTTTTTTGCAATTATGACGCCCAAATACCACCACAGCCCCATCTAATACAGTGGTTCTCAACCTGTGGGTCGGGACCCCATTTGGGGTCGATCGACCATTTCACGGGGGTCGCCAAGGCTGTCCGCCATTTTTTTTGTCCGCCATTTTTTCCCCCTTTTCCGGCGGGTGCCTTACCTCCCTTGGGCTGGGCCAGCTGGTGGTCGGCCTGCTCCATCTCTGCCGCTTGCCAGCTACGCCTCGGCCGGCGCAGGGGGCGGAACCACGCATGCGCGGCGCTCCCGGGCAGGGAAAGTCCTCGACTTACGACCGGTTGGGTAGTCCTCGACTTACGACCGGTTTAGTCCTCGACTTATGATTGGTTTAGTCCTCGACTTACGACCGGTTTAGTCCTCGACTTACGACCGGTTGGGGTCGCAGCATTAAAAAGGTTGAGAACCACTGAACTAGATGATTTACCAGGATTACAGACTTCTCTCGTGGTCTAGAAAAGCTGTTTACATTATTCCCTTCCATAAATCAAAACGAATAGGGAAAATCTATTTCCCTCTGGATTCCAAAAGAGTTTGTCCCTCTAGCTTCCTCAGAGTGTAATGAGTCTCAGGTTCAAGATTTTAACATGTAACGCTCCACCTGCGATCAGATTTCTTCCCCATCCGATCCTGTCTCGCTAGCAACAACATGAAGTGACACTTACGTTTCTGGGGAAAGAGAGGTGGGATCCTGTGTGGCTGGAAGAGCAGCTGAGGCTGAGCTCCCAAAATGCCTTGCTTCTGTCCCAAAGAAGCTACATGGAGCAGAGGAGTGGGGGGCTTCAGAAGAGGCTGGGGGAAAAAAAATACATCAATGAGGGATTCATAACAAAAGTAACTTCCCTTACTGAAAAACGTCTAAACCACGAGAGAACAAATTTCATAAATAAAAAGATAGTGTTGGACTTGCCCCAACTTAAAAGCTCTAAACGGAAACGATCCTTGGCTCCACTTGTTGAGAAAGGTGTACTAGAGATCCCAGGTGTATTGCAGAATTTGCATAGCCAGAATTGAGAATCGTGCGCCAAACTCCTTAACTTCTACTTTCCCCTCTCTTGTCTCTCATTGCCCACCCTGGTGTAACCAATCAGGTTCAGGCAAGTTGCTTTCATAACAGATGGTCCAAACACAGTTTGGTATGAGCCCCCTCCTCCTTCGAGTTGGGTGACCTTGAGGCAGCATCTCAAGAAGGCATAGCCTTTACTTTCATTTTCCCAAGCATCCCCCCCCCCTTCATTCCCAATTCATGGCAGCCAAGCACAAGCAAATGTAAGGTGGCAGCTGACAGATGGGCTTATTAAAATACCCTGTCTTACCCACAATAACATCCCCCCTCCCATCTGATTTCTCTGCCATATTGATGATATCTTCCACTGCTTTGCCACCAGTCACAGCAAAATGCTAAATAAAGGTGTGTGATGCACCATGTAATAGATATAGAAATCAAAGCCCAAGTATCAAGCATGAATCACTTTATCCACGTGGAGAGCAAAACTGGCTGCTACCTGATTTGACAATGTCTGGACCTTCAAAGCATTCCAGGGCACGGACTGACTGGGGTTGTAAACAGCTTTCACCAGCACTTTCTCACCAATCTGTGGAATCCGGCCTTTAACAACGCTTAAAGAAAGAAAAGACGGCAGGGGAAATTCATTACTTCTGTTGGCACAGTCTCTGAGCAGCTTCACAGTACTACTTCATAAGAAACTGCTTAGACTTCAGTATTGATTTGATTTGCCTTCTCCAACTGGCACTAGTCCTGTATTAGGCATGCTTCCTTCACAAACACACAAGGAAGTGGGAAAAAAATCACATTTCAATATCCTAAAGCTTTGCAAGCTTTTAGCTTAGCTAAAAACCTTTTTTCCAAGCATGACTGCCATTTTTCTAGCAGGATATATATAACAATCTGTAGTGTAACAGATTATATACAACCTTAATGCTTATACAAATTCTGCTGCCTTCCAACAGCAGAAGCAGCAGCTATAAGCAGCCAGGTTTGGCTGATTTACAAACCTGAGAAGCATCCCCTTTACTGCTCCTCCAAGTCACGCAAAAGGTTGAAAAGAGGCAAAAGGTACACTGTCCTCAAGCAGCCATTTACTGCCCACTTCAGTCCCTGCTGCAGCTCAGCAACCCTCTACTCACCTTAACTGGAAAAAAACTTCATCATCCACCACGCCAAAATAATCGTGAAGGCTGGTGACAATGCCGGTAAAAACGCGCTGCTTCTCTCCTCCCTAAAAGCAAGAAAAATGACTGTAATTACTTTGCTCAAATGACTCTCATCTGATAATGACCATACTGTCCGCAGTCAACAAGTACATTCATTAACGCTGCAGATGTTCCCTTTGTATGAGCCTAGTTCACTTTCTTTGCCATTCTTTGGAACTCTGAACCATCCAGCGGGCTATTTTACCCACTTGCTATGTTCAATATTTGAACAGGCTTTTTATTCAATATTTATTGTGATTTTTATTATTGCCTGTTCACCGCCCTGAGTCCCGTAAGGGAGATAGGGCGGTATATAAATTTAAATAATAAAGTAAATAAATAATAAATAATGATCTCTACTTAATGCACTCTGCATCTGCTCTTTAACACTGGATCTAAATGCTATGGACAATTAAATGCTAAGTCACTACTGAGACGTACAACTGTTCCTTTTAGGCTTGAATAACCCAACTTCTAACTTCCTTTTTCTGTCACACTTGAAGAAAATTAAGCAGGTCAAGCGTAAACCTGCACCTTCTCCAACAATGTGCATGAAGATCTGCACAATGAGTCTTGTGAAAGAAATAAAACACACAAAATGAAGAGTTCAGTTCATATATTTGTGCCGTTTCACCTTTGCTGTTGCTGCAGCTTCCCCCTAAAGCTAAAATCCTCCTGCATCACCTGTGGTTCCACTTTTATCAAAGCCAGAAGGCATTAAAGCCACGTGCCTGAAATATCAGAGGAGCTATGGTGATTTCCAGTGGGTTTTCACCTCACCTCTAGCTGAGATTCAGCCTAAGAGAGAACAGGAATTGCTGTCCTGTTTCCAAAATAGAGAGTTCTCGGCACAATATCAGAAGTGATCGGAATCACTTTGCAACTTGAGTAGTTTATAAAATCCCTTGGTTGACGTGAAAGTCCCAAATTGTCCCATATCAAGAGAAGGAAAGAACAGAGGAATATCACCCCCAGGCAACTAAGAAACCCATAAGAGAAAACCAATTAATTCTCTACCTGAAGATGACGTGCTGCTTGAATGATATCCGCTGAAATAGGAGGATTTAATAGGCCCGGCGCAGGCCCCAGGAGAGAGGCCGGCTGTGTTCCTAGGAAAAAAGGACCAGGTGTCAACATCATTCGAATCCGGTTGAAATGAAGCATTAGGAGGCAATGGATACATTTTATTTACCAATAAATAGTACTCTGTAACTATTCTAGCCACATTCTTTTCGATACAACTACAACTTCATCCTTGTTATGTTTCTTTCCCAGTGAAGTAATAGAAGCCTGGATACAGAGATCAGCCTACATAACTTTCAAATATCGCATTATTAGATCTGACCACAGATCCAACTCTATGTAGTAATCACTGACTCCACATTGGTAGTTGCAGTCACGTGAAATGAGTCCGTGCTCATAGTGCAGTTTAGCAAACATATGTTAGACTACTCCTCACAATGTATTGTCTCATTCGTAGGAGTTTGGCTCCCAAATGATAGCCAGCATAGTCTAGGACAGGGGTAGGCAACCTTGGCTCTTTTATGACTGGTGGACTTCAACTCCCAGAATTCCTGCGCCAGCATGGCTCAGCTTGGAAACCTCTCCCTTTCCCCTCAGCGTGGCTGGCTCAGGAATTCTGGGAGTTGAAGTCCACCAGTCATACAAGAGCCAAGGTTGCCTACCCCTGGTCTAGTAGTTAAAACATCAGGCTAAAAAGCAAAAGATCATGAGTTCAAGTCCCATCTTAGCCATGAAAGCCAGCAGGGTGACCTTAGGCCACTGGCTCTCTCTCAGCCCAACTCATTTCAGAGGGTTGTTGTTGTGGGAAAAATAGAAGGAGGAAGGTGTGTTGGATATTTTCACCAGCTTGAGTTACAGCCTCAACTTACAACCATTCATTAATGACCATTCTAAGTTAGCAATGGCACTGATCAGTTTTTACATTTCCAATCTTTGCAGCATCCCCAAGGTCATGTGATCAAAATTCAGGTGCTTGCAACTGGCATGTATTTATGACAGTTTCACTGTCCCAGGATCGTTGGCTTCCAACAAGTGAAGTCAATGGGGAAAGTCAAATTCACTTAACAACTGCAGTGATTTAACAACGGTGGCATAAAATATCCTAAAATGGAGCAAAGCTCACTTAACAACTGTCTTGCTTAGCAACAGAAATTTCGGGGTCACTGTGGTCCTAAGGCAAGAACTACCTGCATTTGTAAAAATAATAAAGGTGGACTAATCCAATAAATAAAAATAAAAAGCATACTTTAAACCACTCTTTCCAATATATTGCCTCATTTGGGAATCGTAAGACTCGAGATTCACATCTGAAGGGCAGCAGTAAAAGAAGTGCTTTGGACAACGAGTGTCTCGAATTCCTGTTTCTTTTAGCTCCATGTCACCTCTTAATCACAGTTCCCAAAAACTGCTGGAGTTATGTTTTGTTACTTCGATATGAGAAACACTGTATAAATTCACACCACTAAAACAGACTTAAAAGGACGCTTCTAAAACTCCAATCCAAACCCCAAGGAAGTGGGACGGAAAGTCCACTTCACCCACTTTGCACAATTCTGGCCTCCACTAAAAAGACATCAAAAGGTTGCTCACCCTGCTTTACTACTGGTTGCAAACTAAAAGAAAGAAAAAGCACCGGACACTCTTTAAAAAGAAGGCAACTTCTAGAATGTTGCACAGCAGCTTGGCAGAACTTACAACGGCAGCTTAAAAAGCCAATAAAGCGTTAAGTGCTTAAATAGGGGGGGGAAAAAAAAAAGAAGAATGTTGATCAGCGACTAGGAAATGATGAAAAAAATGCTGCCCCGCAGGTGGGGGGGGGGGAAAGGTGCTTCTTTTGGCTCCGAATATTTGTCCGAAATGGTGTAGGGTTACCTGCCTGAGCAGGGGGTTGGACTTGATGACCTCCAAGGTCCCTTCCAACTTTATTATTATTATTATTATGGATCATCGCACAGTCAGCCAGATGTTCAGACTGGATTTGGCATTTTGTCTACCTATCGAGTCCTTAATCCAGGACCTGGGATAGGCAGATGTGGATGTTTGATGGTATTACATTAGGCAGATGTGGATGTTTGATGGTATTACATTACTACTACTATTATTATTATTATTATTATTATTATTATTATTATTATTATTCCTGAATCAGACCAACCTGAAAAGGATCGGGCTCCCTGAAGGCTGCTGGTTCGCAGGGGCTTCTGGCGCTTGAACTGTGCCATTCTGAGAGGGGGAGCTGTGTGTTTAACACATTTTCAAAAAGTTACACAAACATTCCTCCTCCTCCTGCCCCACCCCCCATATCAGCTCCACAAGCTCTGCCCCAAAGGAGGGGAGGGAGGGAGCTGAGCCCGTCTAGATGCCCTCAAGCCCCCCACACCCACCCACACACCCTTCCCAGGTGCTGCCAGGGGGCTCTTCCTGCTCCCGAGGCCAGTTCAGGGGCTAAAAGCCAGCCGGGCAGACGACCCAGCGGGCCCGATGCTGAGGGAGGGAAGGAAGGAGAAGCAGGCGAGCAGGAAGCTCCGGGAGAGCGACGTGTCTTTGGCCGGGAGGCTCTTTAACCCCCCTTTTCCCCCCCCCGGGCAGGCTGGCCTACACTGCGGGGTCGTCGCAACCCTTCCGCCGCCTCGGCCCCCGCCACACCCAGACACGGACCCCCCTAGCCGGGAGGGCTTCACCGGTCGCTTCCGCGGCGGCCAACGGACGCTGAGGGAGCTGCGCCCGGGGGGGGGGCTGAGAGGCGGGTTCCGAGCGGGACCCCCCCCCGGCTCGAGAGAGGCAGGCCGCGGGGGGAGGGGCCGGAGGGCGTTGGAGGGCGCGGGCGACGCCGCTCGCGAGGCGGGCTCGGACCCACCTGAGGGGAGCGGAGAGCGCCCGGCTGCGACACCAGGGACAAAGGAACCCGGAAAAGCGTACCGGATGTGCGCCCGGGCGGAAGCGCCCCCGCCTCCTGCTGCCCCCGCGCTGAGGGAGAGCGGAAGGGCGCTCTGCCCGGAGTGAAGCGCCACCCGGAAGTGAATGGGGAAAGAGCTGAGGCAGGCGAGGCGACGTCCTCCCAGCGGGGAAAGAGCGTCGCTTGCCGAAGTCGGGGGGGGGGGAGAGGGAGGATGGCCCTTCCGAGGTGTGTCTGGGTGACACAGCCCAGCGACAGAGCGCCTCCCAGAAGTCCCAGCCCCTGGGCGGCCTCGCTAGGGATTCTGGGAGGTGTGGTCCAAGCCCTCTGGATGCACCTGCTAGCCCAGGGATAGGCAACCTAGGCTCTTTTATGACTGGTGGACTTCAACTCCCAGAATTCCTGAGCCAGCCACGCTGAGGGGAAAGGGAGAGGTTTCCAAGCTGAGCCATGCCAGCTCAGGAATTCTGGGAGTTGAAGTCCACCAGTCATGAAAGGGCCATAGTTCCCCCATGCTGGCTCAGGAATTCTGGGAGTTGAAGTCCACGAGTCATGAAGGGGCCAAAGTTTCCCTCATGCTGGCTCAGGAATTCTGGGAGTTGAAGTCCACGAGTCATGAGGGGGGCAAAGTTTCCCTCATGCTGGCTCAGGAATTCTGGGAGTTGAAGTCCACGAGTCATAAAAGAGCCAAGGTTGCCTACCCCTGGGCTAGCCAAAGGGAGGGTCGCGCTAGATAGGATTTGGGAAGGGTTAGGGGCAAAAAAGCGTCAAGCATTATGAAATACTCCAGGACTTAATATTTTTGAAACTTTGTATGGGCAAAATTCCATATTTTAAGGAAGAGGAGAATAAATCGCAGGTTCCCAACTCTGGAAATTAAACAGAGCTGACAAATTCCAAACAGCTGGCACAGTTCACTTAATTTTGTGTAAAAGGGGTGTGTTTTGCCGCCCAGTGGCAAGTTTGAGAACTATTTTGAGCGTTTTTCTTTTCCAGCCCCAAGTTTGCACACTTGCAGGCGTGCTCTTATCTTGCTCACTTTTTTATATACAGCTTCTCAGCATGCGGTTGAAAATGATCAGATACAAGTGGGTCACTTTGATGGTTTAATGTAGGAATCGCTAAGCCACAATAAATTAAGAGCTGCTGAGCACCTACATTAGCCATGCTGGTTACTTAGACTGTTTCTATCCTCTGCATTATTCATTGATCTGATCTTGTTTTTGATCAAAGTCAGTAGTTCAACTAGCTGTCCAAGATGGGCAGTCTACGTCCTTCCCCGTTGCAATCTTTTGTCCCAGGCTTCTTAGATCATGCACAGCTCTTGAAATAAATACACACACCGATACTTCCTCTCACAAACTCCCATCTTCATTAGAGGGAGAATAGAAATGCATGTACTCCCCTTTTCCACTTCACAATGCATATTTTAAATCACGCTCTCAGTACAAAGGCTATTTTAAATCCCTGGTTTTTTTTAATCAGAGTTGCAATCCAGCCTCACTTGGATTACAGCTTTCTAGCTTTAAGAAGCACGTTCTCTTTCTCTGCAGAATGTGATGCGCAGCCAGGAGGAAGCATAGCAGAACACTTTTCCAGCTACACAAACTATCACCTACACCCACCAGCAAAAACTAAATTTTTTCCATCTTGAATTCATTGACCCATTACTCCTAAAACTCCTATGGATGCATCCACTATCGCTTGTTCTCCACTCTAAATCCCAAGGCGTAAGGGGGAAGCATCCCAATTTCAAGCAGAAACAGGATTACATTCTAAAAGTTTGGGACTCTGGATTTCCCTAAAGACCTTCTACCTTAGCAAGCTAACATAACAGAGCTGTTTCCCAAATATCCCCTCTGTCCTTGATTGTCCGGGGGCTTGCCTTGACTAGATGGGTGGCCCTTACCCCAGCAACTGACTTTATTTTATTTAGGAATCAGAATGCTGATCTTCGTGGCACCAAGGAACTCGGCATTTTCCCTCCCAACATTTAAGCCATGGTAAATTAGGTTTTCAGGATAGCCAAGGGGATGTTGTCAGACACTGGAGTCAGGTCAGTCTCGTTCAGCACTAGCCACAAATGACAGGATTCCAATGTATCTGAGCAGCATCAGATTCTGGGAAGCTAAATTGCTTTTCTAAATTTATGCCATTGAAAACATTGATACAAGCATCCTAGTTTATGCAATTGGAAGTTAGCTGCTCCCAAATTTAACCACTCGTACCCTTTGGGAAACAGGGTGGGAGGGTAGATGGATCCCTGGTATGATCCAACAGGTCTCTGTTTCACTGATGACACGCTACTTCTCTACCGCAAAGGATTCCATGTATCTCCAGAAGCGGTTTTTCAAACATGCATCCTTCCTTGCGGCATGAAATAATACATCCCTGGAATACCACATTCCACTGAATTTAGCTTTTACAAACAATTTTTCTCTACTCTCGGGTTCCGGTTTTTAAAAGTCTGCAAAATGTTTTATTTTACTTCTTTAAATACATTAAATACATTAAATACATTTAACCCCCCCAGCCCCATATATCGTTAACTGTTAAATCATATAAAAAAATACAATTTCATCTGTGAAATTACACAGTTGCATGCACCAGAGGGGAAAGGGGAAAAAAATCAAGAAAGCATCAGATTTAATTTAAACAATTGAACAATTAAACACACTAAAAAGAAGACCAACAAGACATTTCACAGTCTGCAATGTATGGATTTCCCAATGGACACGAGGGAACGGAAGAGAATTCTCTTTGCACCATTTTCTCTGCCTGCAAAATACTGAATTATTTTAACAGTCCTAAGCAACCAATGAAGCCATAGCCTCAGACCTCAAGAGGAAGGCGTTATGGAGAGAGAGACACACTAACAGAGTGCCAAGTGAATTATATTTTGGAGATCAGTATGCCTGTTACAGCATAAAGCTTCTCCAGAGGACCAGCCCCGAACACAGTGCACTAAAACCAGTTTTCTTCGGAGAATCAGCCACAGTGTGCAAAAAAGGTGAAACTGGTGAGGACTGCAAAAAAAAAAAAAACCCTGTACTAATCTAATACTGCTATTTCTTTCAAAAACAGTGAACTCAACTCAAGATACTGCTAAGCTAATAAAATAAACTCTAATCATTAACAAGCCATTTTCTGGCATAATAATTGTGGCTGTCAATCCAGTTTGAACTATGGTTTGCATTACTGCTTTGGGCCATTGTGTGAAATCTCTGTTATTAATTAGGAAGGAACAGGGAAAATTATTCCATAAATAAGAAAGTGCCCATCTTGCAAAGGTTAATTTGCGCAGGACGGCAGCATTGCACTCACAAAAGGATCAAAAAGGATTCGTGGGAAGGAATATATTGGCAATATCTGGCTTTTTTGCTAGGAAGAATCCCAAGGCCTTTCCATTTCAGTTTGATTCCAAGAAAACAAAAGCAGGTCTCATTTGCCTCGCTTCTTCCCTGAATATCTCTCGCGCCTCGGCAATGTTCTGCTGAAGACTATTCAGATCCCATGACTCTTAGTGAACCTTGTGGTGACGTCGGTGGACTCGGACAAACATGTGAGGAAGGGGACAAACAGTTATTGGCACAACAGTATCAAATCCGAACTTGCAGATCCGCCATGCCCCCAGAAGAACCTGTAGTAGTTCATCCCATGGAAACGTGTTTTGACCGATGTATCTTCACCATCAGATTGGGCAGAAAACGCCGCCTTGGGCAGAATCCCTCTTGGTCTAACTCAGGGTCTGCTCTGTAAAGGGGAAAGTAAAGAAGGACATTCAGCCTGGGGCTTTTTCAAGCCAGTTGCTGTACCGTTCCATGCATCGGAAGTGTTTCCAACATGCTTGAGTGAAGCTACAAATGGAAACTGATCAAGGAGAGAAGCAACCTAGAACTAAGGAGAAACTTCCTGACAGTTAGAACAATTAACCAGTGGAACAACCTGCCTCCAGAAGTGGTGAATGCTCCAACACTGGAAGTTTTTAAGAAGAGACTGGACAGCCATTTGTCCAAAATGGTGTAGGGTTTCCTGCCTGAGCAGGGGGTTGGACTCGATGACCTCCAAGGTCCCTTCCAACTTTATTATTATTATTATTACCTACCACCCACCCCACCCAAATATAATTTTTCCAAGCCTGGGAAGAGCAATCTTGACATTTCTCCTTCCTGATGCATTTTTTGTGTGTGTGGGGTGGGGAAGTGACAGTGTTGGGAGAAGAAAGACTGGATTGCAAACTCTTGCTTCTAGGGACTTTGAACTGATCAAACCACCTCAAACTTTCTTTTAAGAGTTGCAGCACATGCAGCCTTCCATTGCTGAATGAAATAAGTACCCCTTTCAATTCTGCTGTAACAAGCAGCAAGCCTTGAACGGTTTTTGTGGTGCCTTCGTGTCAGTGTTAACCCCTGGCAACTGCCCTGAAGTGTTCTGGGCAAGATTTTGTCAAAGTGCTTTGCCATTGCTCCTTCCTAAGGCTGTGGGGGAGTGACTGGCCCAAGGTCATCCAGCTGGCTTTCTTCCTAAGGCAGGGAACAAACGTCATGGGCTCCTGGTTGCTAGCGTGATGCTAGAAGCTCTGCACCAAACTTAGGCCCAAACCTTTATTTTTAATTGCATCGGTCAAGTGCAAAGAGAAGCATCCTCGACTCCTTTCAACAATGCGTGCTGGAAAAACATTAGAATGCTTACGGCATTAAAAAGAGGGAGGGAGGGAAGGACTTCTTGTTCTCGTGTTATAAAATAACAACTAAAAGAACCTCTTTCCAGCTGGGCTTGTTTGCTTTTTCTCCTATCTAGGCCAAGGAGAGCAAGCAAACCAAAAAGGGGAGAAGCAAGGCCATGTAGCATTTCAAGGCTGATTAGGTGACTTTTCTTCCCAAACAAGCTATCCAAAATCAGCTCCCACATCTAAAATCCTCGGTCCTTCTTTCACGACTGGTGGGAGTGTCTGCATGGATAATTGTTGAACAATTCCATCTCAGAAGGAAATCAGCTCGCCTGCTTTTTAAATAGACTTCAGAGAGAGTTCTATTTCTTTTCCTTCGTTAGTGCTCTTGAGGGTATGTTTTTGTCGCATTTGGCTACTTCATGTATATTTACAGTCCAAAACTGCTTTTTGGCGGTTATCATTTGTACTGACTCTTAGTAAAACACAAAGCCCAAACTTACCGACGGTGCCTGCTTTTGGTTGCGGTATCACTAGATGGGATCACTTCACTGGTCTTCGAAGACCTCCTTCTAATCCTGTTCAACAGCCCCTTAACTCTACCCCAGCGGGATCGGTCGTTCTGGAAGAGACACACAGTGATACAAGCACTGGCCTTAACTGAAAGTCAAGCAGAAACAGAAAGCACTTGGTCCAGCACGACACACAAGAGTCATTTCAGACATTCTCTCTCTGCATGTGGCTATGGAACCAATAGCTGCTTCCCCAGCCCTACTTTGAGGTTTTCGGAAAGCGAAGGAGTGATGGGAATGAAGTTTATGAAATAATACATGCCCTCAGTCTCGGTGCTGACACCCTGCCAACTTCCAGCTCACCTTTGCCTTCTGGCTTGATGGCCAAGTATGAAAGCCGCTACCCAGTCGTTCCACTAAGCTGGGTGAACTGGCAGAGTGAAGGGCTGACATCATAGAACGATCAATCTTGTTTCCTGCAAAGATGAAAGAGCTTGCAGAAATCCACTTTTTTAAAGAACAATAGAAATCCCCTTCTTCACAAATCCAGGCTATTGGTAAAGCTAGCCAATTCTAAAGGAAAATCAGTGGAGCCTCTTTAATGTGGCTTCTACGTAACAATCAAACCCAAGAAATGGGGGCTACGGTTAGCACAGGGTGACCACCAGGTACTCACCCAGATGATGGGTTTGTCTCCGGAACATGTGTGTATCTGAAGCAGAACGAGCCCGGAAGCTATGCGGATGCCAAGAGTCCACTAAATCGAGATATTCCTCTTCATTCGCGGGATTTCCCTCTTCCTCTTTTTCAGTCTCCACGGCTTCTGGATCACCCGGCTGGGGATCCGTTTGAGGCTGCTTAGGCTCCTCTGTAATTTGTTCAAAAAAGCACTTCTGCCAGACAAAGAGAACTTGAGTTGGAGAACAATCATCGCAGAAATACCATTTGGGGTTTAATTTTCGTAGAGGGGGCAGGCTAAGCAAGTGAAATATTCTCTGATCTCATGGTCTGGTTTACCAGCCTCTCTCAATTCCCCCACCCCAACTCTATTCTGTCTTTCCAACGGTGGCCAACGTCTACAAATTACAATTCAATTAGCTGTAGCCCTTTCCCACCTTCTCCTGTTGTAGGGTGCAGACCTGGCACTCCAAGGCCCGGACTCGGCACTCCAGTAGTTGACGCTCATGCTGGAGTTGCGTGTTGGCTTTCTGCAATTGGCTAACTTTCTCCATCAGTTGGCAGAGGTTCTCCAGGCAGCGTACACCCGGCCCTGGCATGGGGAGGGATGCTGGCTGTTGTGCCTAGCAAATGAACATCAGGCAGAATTGTAGAATCGGCACGCTCCACAAATAATATTTTGTCTGACCCTCACCTAATGTGCAGGAAAACCAATTAAACTATCCAGCTTCTTCAACATCTCCAGAGTTGGGAAACTCACAACCTTATTTTGGCAGACTTTTGCCCTGTTGGAAAACTCACCACCTTGGTTGGTAGACTGTTTTGCCTTGCTGCACATATCTTACCACTCCAAAGATTTCCTTATATTTAAGCCAGGTCTAAGTACTACAACTTATACTAGCTCTCATTTCTGGCCTTAGTTCCTGTGCAGAGAAGAGCAACAAAGTTGATTAGGGGACTGGACGCTAAAACATATAAGGAACGGTTGCTGGAATTGGGAATGTCTAGTTTAACGAAGAGAAGGACGAGGGGGGACATGATAGCAGTCTTCCAGTATCTCAGGGGCTACCATAAAGAAGAGGGAGTCAGGCTATTCTCCAAAGCGCCTGAAGGCAGGACAAGAAGCAACGGGTGGAAACTAATCAAGGAGAGAAGCAACCTAGAACTAAGGAGAAACTTCCTGACAGTTAGAACAATTAACCAGTGGAACCACCTGCCTCCAGAAGCGGTGAATGCTCCAACACTGGAAGTTTTTAAGAAGAGACTGGACAGCCATTTGTCTGAAATGGTGTAGGGTTTCCTGCCTGAGCAGGGGGTTGGACTCGATGACCTCCAAGGTCCCTTCCAACTTTATTATTACTATTACTATTATTATTACTATTATTCTTGCTGCACCTTTTGGGGGGATTCCCTTTCTGTTCTTGAACAGGGCCGTTATCCATCATACATACATCATACATCGATTGAACATGTAGCCTGGGTGAACAGTTCAACCTCTGCAAATATCCCATGAACATCTAAGGAGCTTAGCTGGATTCATGCATTGCAGTAAGACATGGTTTACTGAACAAGCCATTAATGGCCTGATTTGCACAATGGTAGCCAGGATGGCAATGTAGAAATCGGACTATAAGCTGTTAACCCAAAATAAAAGAGAGAGAATTTCTGTGGGGAAAAAAACAAGACTTGAAATACTCTATCTGAAGCTATTTACGACAGTGAAATTTTATCAGTAGTGTTCGAGTAGCAAATTTAAACCCAGTGCTTTACAAGTATAAGAAGCAGCACTTATTATAGAATCAGAAACACCACTTTTTAAATATGAAAATCAAAAGCAACTATGGAAAATCTTTGCTAAACCCTTGCAGGATTTCATCAGCAAATGACCAAGATTCCTCAAGTAACCTGAAGTTCTATTTCCTTGCTAGCCCAAGTAATCTTTTGCTTATGACTAATTAATCAACTTTTTATCCTGCCGCTCCCCCAACATCAATCCAAAATATGGCCAGAGACAGGAGGAAATTCAGTGGTGACACATGCAGATGAAATAAGATGATGTAGCCCAACAGCTATGCAGAACAGGAACACACATTCCAACGCAGAGCTGGCATTTCTCCATACCGTGTTTCCTCAAAAATAAGACCCACTCTTATTTATTTATTATTATTATTATTTTGCTTCCAAAAAAGGCACCAGGTCTCAATTGGGGGGGGGGTGTCTTCTCCATTCACCTCCAGCACCAGCAGTCTCGCCCAGTCTCACCCAGTCTGTGGCCGAAGGAGCAGCTTCATTCTGCGACTGGGATTGGAGCTCCGGCCGACATTTCGCAGTCAGGTCTTTCCGGAAGGCTTCTGCAGCCGAGAACCGAGCTATGGATTCAATCCAATCTACGGTGGTCGGCTTTAGAGGCCTTGCAGAACCGAGCTATGGACTGAATCCATAGCTGGGTTCTGGACTGCACAGGCCTTCCGGAAAGGCCTCTGACTGCAAAATGCCGGCCTGGGGACGCCGCAGAAAAAGAGCTGGGCCTGCCAGGTGAGGCAGGTGTTGATTCATGGAAGACCTGACTGCAACACAGGGGAAGGGGGGCAGATCCACACCCCCACCCCTGCCTGAGTTTGATTTTTAGGCCCCAAAACTAGCGCTTATTTTTGCGGTAGGGCTTATATTAGGCCAGGGGTAGGCAACTGTGGTTCTTTTATGACTCGTGGACTTCAACTCCCAGAATTCCTGAGCCAGCATGGCTCAGCACGGAAACCTCTCCCTTTCCCCTCAGCGTGGCTGGCTCAGGAATTCTGGGAGTTGAAGTCCACGAGTCATAAAAGAGCCAAGGTTGCCTACCCCTGGTCTAGGAGGCTCACTGCTTAGAACAGGAGGACTTAGGACAGGGGTAGGCAACCTTGGCTCTTTTATGACTCGTGGACTTCAACTCCCAGAATTCCTGAGCCAGCATGGCTCAGCTTGGAAACCTCTCCCTTTCCCCTCAGCATGGCTGGCTCAGGAATTCTGGGAGTTGAAGTCCACGAGTGGTAAAAGAGCCACGGTTGCCTACCCCTGTCTTAGGCCTACCCCCATAAATCAAGCCAGGGCTTATTCTCGGGGTAGGCCTCACTTTTGGGGAAATGCCGGTGTGTAATTTTGGATCAGGCTGGAATTCAGCTCCCCACATCTAATATTACTTTGAGCGTTTCATTCTCTCTCTCTCCAGCACTTTCCGGACTGCCAAATATTAAGTCGCTCCTGGATCTTTGAGTTGCATTTTGCCACTGACGAATACTTTAGTTTGGACAGGAGCTGCTGACTGCCTTTAGTCGACTCCTGGTCCAGGCAGAAACCAAAGCAGAGCAGAGACTTTGAGGAAGGCAAGCAAAGATCTCCATGACGGCTGCAGTCTTCTGGGGCCACGTGTGACCGCTTTTGTGACCGCTTTTGTGACCTTCTGACAAGCAAAGCTAATGGGGAAGCCAGATTCACTTAACAACCATGATAGTAACTTGGCTGCGGTGATTCACTTCACAGCTGTGTCAAGAAAGGTCATCAAATGCTGCAAAACTCACTTAACGACTGTCTCACTTAGCAACAGAAATTTAGGGCTCCATCGCTGCCTCTGAGATCCTTCAGGAAATCAAGCCTTTTAAGGACATGTTAATTCATTCACACTCTGAGGCGGCAATGTTTTTGCACATCTCTGTTGGGAAGAAACTATGCTAATTCAATTAGGTTTATAGTGTAATTACAAATTATGGGTGTGGCCTTTTCGCCAGTATAGTGCAGCAATAATAATGACGTTTTCACAGGCTTCGCAAGCTGCAGTGCTAAACCTGCAATCACAGGCCTGTTAAAAAAAAGAAAAGCATTCACACACAAAGCAGAATGAGATTTCCTTGGGGTACACCAAGGACGACCGACTCCAACATCGGTATAAATCAGTGTTGGGTGTAAAGCAGCTCATTCTGTTTGCTTAGCTCACTGTTGGCGAAAACAAATCTCAATTTTGCCTTCCGTGTTGTCTGTGGGGGACTCCTAAGCCCCCGTTCTGAATAACAGTGACCAGGTAGATTGATAAATACCTAGAAAAGCAAAGCCCAGGTGAGTCAGGTGCCAGAGGAAGATCAGCTCCTCCCTGCTGCAAACTAGGTCAGCAGAGAAAGAGTCGCTTACCTGCAGGGATTATGAAAGGTGAAGACATGGAGACATTCTAGCAAGAGACAATTATGCAAGGCATCAGCACAGGGTGGAATCTAAGAGCATTTCCCTACGAAACTAACCTACCTACTACTGGGCGGAAGCCATAGCTAATAATGATCCTTGGCTCTCTGATCACATCACCAAGAATGTACCTGCAAAGCCCCTCCATTTTCAGCTGCTCCTGCTTGATCACAGCAATTTCAGGTCAACTTGGGCCAACTGGCATCTTTCCAACACTCACCTTTTTTTCTGTTTTCTCAAGGGTGCCGCGGCCTGATGTAGTTTGACTGTATCCTCCAGAAGCCTCATCCAGAAGCCCGTCAACACTCACTGGCCGGTGTGGGTAGCGGGACTTCAACTCCTCCAAATCTACCAGACTTTGACGCCTCTGGATCAGCTTGTTGGGCGTACGGACGTACAAGTGGTTCTTCTGGGACCTCTGACCCATCTCGGTGAACTTCCTTTTGACACAAAGTTCTTGCCAGTAGGCACGATCCAGAACAGGCAGCAGTTCTTGTGGCCCATCTTCTTTGGGGCAACCCTCCCGGGGGGCTGGAGCAGACTCATCTTCTCCTGCCATCTGGAAACCATCTTGGTAATCCAAAGAAAAGCTCTTTTCGGATTCCACCGGAGTCAAAGGGGCGTGATCGCCACTGGCCATCTCCACGCCGGAATCTTCCGATTCAGATTTCATAAGCCGTCCACTCATGGGCAAGAAACCCAGATGATGGGGAGCGAGATCAGTTGGAGATCCGGCCTCGGCCCATCTATCAGTCTCTATGGTCATTTGGTCTTCAAGAACCAGGCTGAGCCGAGATTGGGGTTGAGGGATCTGCAGCTTCCAGCTGCGGGACATGACTGACGTTAGCACCACACGGTTGTCAGCTGGTTTCCAGACACTATCTGCAAATTGAGAATGAAGTGTAATGAGTGGAAGGCACGCCCCTTCCACTCCCAAGAATGGACTGAAACTATGTAAATAGGGCGGCTGGCCAGGTAAGGGCTCCGCCTCAGCCCCTTCCCTTGCTAATGATCCCCAAGAGCTTTGGATCAGCACCTTGCAACATTTGCATTCCAAAAATATTCTTCACAGGTACATGACTCAGGCAGCAGCCAGGTCTGGCCAGAAGAGTGGAGAAGGCAACCTGGAGAGGCTCCAGAGAAACCATCTCTGGGAAAGTGCTTCTTCACAAGGATAATTGCATCAGATCCCAAGAGTGCAAAGGATTCTAGCTCTTCTCTTTCCACACTACCATTTGGCCTCTCAAACAGGGATGAAGGGGGAAAAGGCAGAAAAAATACAGGGGAAATAGCTTCTTTCTTTTGGGATGTTCTGGCATTTTGATAAGGAAACTGCAGCATGGCTTACGAGATACAGGTCATCCTCACACATCCTCAAGTTGAGAATCACTGGTCTAAACTACCCTAGTCCACCTTCTACCTCCCCTGTTTTAAAATTATTTCAATCCTTTTCTACTCAGCTCAATTTTGGACACTTTTCTGCCTGTTTCTTTTGTTTTTGAATACTTTCTTTCTGGCAGTCCAGATCTGGGAGTCATTTCTGTCTAAGATAAAAGATGTGAATCATAAAATCCCATCAGACTAGAGCACAGTCTGTTCTACAAATGTTATCTAAATGATCCTCAAAACTACTTAAAGATATGTCCCAGGTATGACAGATAAATGGAGAACAGCATCTCATAGAAAGGTGACAAAGCGTCTTTACCGCACAAACATCTTTAGACTGGATCTAAAATAAATGTCCTCACTGAGAAAGCAGGCAGAAAAGTCAACTTTTCCCCCCAAAAAAATC